TTTTTTTTTTTTTTTTTTATGGCTATCCCATCCATACAGGATGGGCTAAAAGCCTGTTGTAATTACCACTATTATGTAAGATAAATTACTTCATGCGACACCCCGTGATCTTCTTGAACCCTGGCCTACCCGTTAATTAGCAAGTGGGATATAAACGAGTTTGCTAAAGTGGATAACATCCAAAAAGAGCAATTAGGGTTTGGTTGTACTAGAATTTATCTAGAGATAAGGTTAATTTCTTTGGACAAATGTAGAGTTTGAAGTTGTCTGTACAACGTAGCTAATAGGAGTAAGGGATGGGTTTGGTGTTGTTATTTATTTTTCTCGTGACGAAAGAAGGAAAGGGAAATAAAAAGGAAAGCTAAGGATCCGATGTTCTTTGTAATTTCTTGGCCTATGCAGAGGTAAATGTGTAGACTTCTTGGTCCTCATTAGAATTTTGTAGCCTCTAAGTTTGTTGTGGTATATGATAGGATGGGGGTACGTGCACCAAGTTGCAGGCACAGTTGCAAGCACTTTGGATTCTTTTTCAACTTGTCCATTCTTCTGTGGACTGTTCTAGATCCTTCTGCAATATTGCTTCTTCAATTTTTCTTTCCTCAGTTTGTTAGTTGCATATGATAGATCCCTAGCTCCTAACAAAAGTGCTGGAAAAGACCCAAAATTCAATGTAAAAGTCCTCTCTTTTTTCTCAGCTACACTGTAATTATTTCCTTCCTCCCATAGACTAAACCATGTCCTTTAAACCCCACCAATAAATATCCTAATGTTACGAACAGCTTCTTCAGCTTCCCAAATCCACATCACAAGTATAAAGCATGAACACCTATGCACAGACGCGCACCCCTGAAAAATCAGAATTGGCATCACAAACATCCATTACTCCCCCCACCAACTGAAACAAGGGCAAAAAGTTCATCCACACCGCTCTTGACACGTTACAATTGGACTGACTTAGCTTCCTTCTCCCATCCCATCACATAAATGTAATCTCATTCAAAAGCCATATAACGTATGTACGTTGTACTCCTATATAGCTACTATAGGATGGTCCTCTAGCTAGCTAATTGAACTTTTCTGCAGGGATATTCTTGACCAGATTGACTCGCCTCATTTGGAGGTTTTAAAATCAATCTCATTCATGTCAAGTTGGTAATATTAATTCAACACAGCCTAGTCTGTTTTAGTACATGAATCGCCACATGAAACAGATATATATATAGGTTAAAATATGACTTTGGTCCTTTAATTTTGAAATTCATATTAAAAATATCTTTAAATTTTAAAAAGTATGAAAATGATCTTTAAACTTGATTTTTGGATACTGAATTCATCTTTTTGGCAACGGAAATGATCGGTGTCACATTAAGTTGTCATAAAATTATTTTTTTAATTAATAACATATAAAAATTTCTTGATGATTTGGCATTTATTGCCTATCCACATGAAATATCTCTCTTCCCCATTTAATTAACTTTACAAATATAAATAAATTAAACAATGAAACTCTATTGGGATTATGAATAAAATAAAATAAAATTCTACTCATATTTTCCTTTTAATTTTCCTTCACTTTTGCATGTACTAAAAAACAAAAATTCATCCCATCCAAATTCACTTCCAAACCTCACTACTTTGAACCATCAAACCTTCTACAAAAGCACCAAATTAAAGCTTCAAAAAGAACTAGCATAGCAAGAACTCATTGCTTTAAACCATCAAATCTAGAACAAAACCTTCAAATTCAAGTTACAAAAAACACAACCAATATAGAGAATAGAAACTGATGAAATTAACCTCTAAATTTTATTTTAAAAAACTCAATATTTGTTGCTAAAAAAGCATCCCACCTTTTTTTATAAAAATTTTCAGTATAAATAATAAAGTCAAATTTGGATATCAACTTGAAGAATCTTCGTCTCGTTAGCCATGCTTAGGGAAGCAGAATCTAGATTAGAGAAGTTCATAACTCAATGGACTTTTCTTGGGATGGATCACTAACAAAACCTCAAATTTGGGACAAAATCTGGATAAAAAAATTCAATAAATTTATCAATTTAGAGAAGAATGTTGGTTTTCGAAAACCTAGAACCACATAATAGGATGAAGAAGAAAGGGAGAAGAAGGAAGAAGAAAAAGAGGATGAGGATAATTAGAGACCCTCAACCTCACCAACAAAGTCCACAATTAGAGAATTTGCTAAACTCGATCCTTGCATCCCCTTGTTCTCTACCCCATGCTCTAGTATATCTCTAAGCTAGCTACCAAATCTCTTGATCCACCATCATTCGAGCCCAATCACCTAAGAATTGGAATAACAAAAGAAGAAATTGGTGAAAGGAAGGAGAAACATAAGAAAGGGAGAGGAAGGAGAGGAGAATTTGAGGAAAGAGATTATGGTAGTTTTGTAAATTTGTTTTTAATTTAATGTTTTAATTAAAAACAATGATTGATACACCCTCCAGTTCAACACATTTAGTAACACATTTCGGTTCAACACACTTAATAACACCTTTCGGTTCAACACACTTAGTAACACCCTCTGGTTCAACATACTTAATAATACCCTCCGATTTAACAAACTTAATAACATCCTCTCGTTTAATCATTAAAAAACTAATATTTTTAAATTGGAAGTCAATGTGGAAAAATTTTCAAAGGTAAAATTTAATGATTGAACCGATGAGTGTTATTAGGTATGTTAAACCAGAGAATGTATCAATAATTTTTCATTAATTAATTAATAGCCCTTAATTTATGTAAGGTGAAAATAAACCATTCAATTTTCCACATCATTCATACAATTTACAAAATAAATATTTTAATTTAAAAGGCTATTGTCTCAACTCTTTAAATATCTATGTCAGCAATCAAAATTATTGAATATAAATAATTTGAAGGAGAAGTTATCCATATTAGCATTTAACTAACGGAAGGATGAACTTGGTACCCAAAAAAAAATTCAAGTTTAAAGATCATTTTAATATTTTTGAAGTTCATAGACATTTTTTTTACAAATTTAAAAGTTAAAGGACCAAATTAATATTTTAACCATATATGTATATTTCT